ACATTAATATGAGTGTAATAAATACAACAATCTTTTAACGTTTAACCAAACTATAATTAATACTATTATTCCATTTTTCACTCATTTAAATTTAATATCTTTTCAGTAAAGAAGACCTAAAACTGAAAAGGATTTCCATATTAAAGAATTTTAAATTGTTAAAATCATTAGAAGGAGCCGACGTAACTAAAGTTGAAACTTTAACGGTTGATCGAAAAGAAATTTTTTCATTAGGTTTTTTAGGTAGTATAGCGAACATTACGAAAAACAGAAAAAGTATGCTTAAGCATTTAATTCTATAAATATCGTCATCAATTGTAATGCTTGAGCGTCATCACGGTTATTATCTGATCAATTGATTTAGATGCTTGAGAACAGCTTAAGGCATTTAAATTTATTAAAAGCTCTTATAAATAATAAAAGTTTAACCTTAAATTTTTTTTTTAAAAGATTAGTAATTAAACTGTATACATATCAAAATTGTCAATTGGCAACTGATCTGGTTCCAACTGAGTATACTGAGCTTAATTAGGATTACTTTTAATTGTCCTAGTTTACATACGAATAACCTTACATGTAAGTAATAAAGAAAAAATATACAGTCACGTACACTGTCACATAAATTTGCCTAAAACATTGTCTAGTTCTCAGGTTTAATAGTTGTAATTTTATTTACATTTTACATTATTAAAAGGCTATATGCTATTAAAGGATAGTGAACATAAAGTATATGAATTTGTTAATTTTGGATCAATATAGTTACGTAGGTGCATATTGTAATCTATACGTATAACATTTCTGGAGCTTAATGTCAGAGCTATGTAGTGGTACGCGTAATTTATGATAATCCAATTAGCCGGCCTGCATTATTAACATATTTAAATCTTACTGAAAAAATTTGAATGAAGTTGATAAGGAAACGTAGAATAATAATTTCTACCCCGCATATCACGCGCATGGCATGGTCCCAGGATTGAGAAAACCGCGATTTGCCCATCACTAGACATATGACCTTCAGAAAGATATTCAAGGATTATATCAGCTTAAAATACAAAGTATAAGAATGAACTTTCTTTATGCTTTATCATAAATTCTTAGACGACTGATAAAAATTGACCGATAAATATTTGCCCGAATTTGGAAGTTTTAGGCGTTCTTAAGCGTCTTAATCGATGAGTCAACAATTGTTGGGGGATAAATTTTATTAAGCGAAAATATTTTAAGAGAGTCAATTGTGGTCATTGTAATGGATATTTAAATAATTTTCGTAACTTATAAAATTTATTACGTAATTCAAAATTTTTTTTATTAGTAAAAAATATGTAAATAGATGTTTAGATCTGGAGTATAGATGAGAAGGATGTTGAGAAGATTGATCAGGAGATGAATTTAAACTTTTTTTATTTTGTAAATCTCAATAGAATCTACAAATGAACAAAATTTCATTCAAATTGGATATCTAGATGCCTGGTAAATTTAATTTTTATTCACAAAATCAACATAGCTTTGGAGGGTCATTTTGATAGCAAAGATCCCATATTATGATTAACGGAGTGGTAAGTAAGTTTGTAATACAGCAACTCATGATAAAAATTATGCTAATTTCAATACTATCATTAACTACAAACTATTGTCACTGGGCTAGCAAATTTACTCTAGCTCATGAGAAGTCATGATAATTCAGATGCGAAATTAACTTGACTTTAACTACATACTATGCCTTACTGGAATAGCAAATTCTTTACCGGGATATTTTACAGCAACTCATGATAAAAACTATGATAATTCTAATGCAAACAAACTCACTAATGATTACCGAAATGGTGTTGTAACCAGGGAGAGACTTTAATTCCGCGGTGTTAATTTAGTTCAGGGTTACGAACATAAACCTGAGTTCAAGTTGTGAAAGAAGGTAGATTAGTTGATAACGGATCGTATAACAATGGGTTTTTATTATGAGTGTGTGAACAGTTATGTATGTGCCGTAATGTTTAAGGTTGTCGTCGATCTAGGCTATGAGGTAGATCTGGGCCAAAATTCCAGATGCAAAGTAGGACGTTACGGGTTAGCGGCACAAGGTATAACGGGTTTTAAGATTATTTTAGGGTTTTATTTTATGACGATAATTATAGGGTACGTACTTTATTTAGGTATTTATTCGGAGCAGAAAGTTATTGGCATAAGCGTCATATTTATACAAGTTCAAATCATGACAGTTCGAAAACCAAAATTCTAAGTTTTGAACCAGCATTGGTCATAATCTTCAGTTCCAAACCACTATTAATGGCCAGAAACCAAGATCCATAGCTCGGAACCACCACCCAGTTAGACTTTACCCCAAAGGGAAACATCATTGTCCAGGGCAAAATATCTTACACAAAAGAAAATTAAACAAAAAAATTTTTTTTACAACAATGCGAACGAGTTTTATAACAGAATTTTTTACAGCAATTCATAATAGAAATTACAATATTCCAATGCAGACTACAAACTATTGTTACTGGAATAGCAAGTTTCACTTTAGCTCATGGTAGAAGTCATGATATTCTGATGCAAACTAATTTGACCTTAACTACATGTCTGACTAGAATAATGAATTCTGTAAATATTTTACAGCATTACAAACACACCACATTTTTGATTACCGGAATGGCGAGTAAATTCTGTATGTAACAGAATTTCTTAGAACAATTCATGATAGGAATTTCGATAATTCCAATACAAACTCAGCCTTAAGGGGGGAGGGTTAGCAATTTATCACGTCAATAAATCGAATATAAACGCTATGATTGGCTGCTGATTTTATCACCTAGGGTTTGGCTTCCTAATAAGTAATAAACGGCATATCCCTAACTATAAATTATTGTCACTGGAACTTTGATGCAAACTAACTTAACCTTAACACATACTTTTATTACCAGAATAACAAGTGTTATAACAGAATTTTTTACTGTAACGAAAGATAAAGCGCTAATATTAATTTTAAAATTTTAGAATTCCCGTGGCTTTGCCACGGGTCGCTGCTAATATATATATATATAAGTATATATATATATATATATATATAAGTATATATATATATATATATATATATATATATAATAATATATATAGAGAGAAATATATCGGGAATTAACTTTATTTTGAAAGGAATACTCTATAAATACTCGGTTTTTTTAAAAAATAGATATATATTTAGCATGCATAATTCGAATAATAAATTTTGAAAAAATGAATAAAATAATTAGATGGATTTGGATATTATTAAAAAATATTTTCATAATTACATATAAATTTGTAATTCCGGCATCAATTTATTTGTTCTTTCCCTTTATGCCTTCATATTTTTTTTGGTTTTTATCTTTGACGTATCCCTTCTTTTATTACTGCTATTTGATTCTTTTTATCCCTTATGGAAAATCACTTTTAAAATTGAATGAATTATTTTTAGTCCATAAACGATTAATAGCATTATATTCAAATCATTGCTTATTTTTTGTAATATTTGCTCTTATGGTGCTTATTTTTGTATTTTCTGTATATTACCTATTATTGGATGACCTAGCAAGCATTTCACTTGTTATAGCATTTTCTTTTCTGAGGACGACATGGCTAGGAATATGTCACTTCAAGGGGACTAATGATATAACTATTTTTCCATCTGGTTCGAACTTTTTATTCATTCAAACTATAGAATTATTTATATTTGCAGAAATATTGCTTTTAGGTTTCTTTAGCATTGCAGTTTCTTTGTTATTATAATTAAGACAAAAAATATTTTATATGTAATGTATTTAGTACCGCCTTTTATTTTTTTAATTTTACTTTACGAAGTTGAGACAGCGTTTAGAAATTATGGTGATAGATATATATTAACTATATTAACTTTATGTCCAATATGTGCAAAAGAAATAATTCACGCAGCATGGTGTCAAGAATGTGCAAACACATATTTTAAGAAAAATTTTATTAACTGGACTAGCGGAAATCAAAGAATTGATGAAATTATAAAAGATGCACAAATAAATTCAAAGATTCCAGAAGATTTTATAGAGTGGATTCCATATGAACAATTTGAAAACATTGAAAAGGTCTGTCATGGTGGATTTGGAACTATTTATAGCGGTTATTGGACACAAGGCCCACTTAATATGATTTCAAATGAGTTCAAAAGAACTGGAGAAACTCATGTTGCGCTCAAAAGTGGTATTTCTTCGGAACATTTAGAAGAGGTACTTATATTTTCAATTAAAGCAATATTTCGTTTATTTATACAAAGGTTATAATACTTTATATTTATGTTTTAGCTTGGTATGCATATAAAATGTTGTACAATTTCAAATTTCTACAAAAACCAATACGATTTTATAAATGGAGTCTCACCAATCCTTCGTTGCTACGGCCTTACTAAACGTTCTACATCTGGAAATACTGAAGAATATATGCTTGTAATACAATTTGCGGAAGATAGTGATTTGTTAAAATATTTAACTACAAATTTTAATCAAATGAGATGGCATGAAGATAAATTACCAATACTTGCTAATATTGCAAATGGCCTTAAAATTATTCATAAGGAAGGTTTAACTCATCGTGATCTTCATTGTGGAAATATTTTAATTAATAATGGTACATCTAAGATTTCTGACTTTGAACTATCACGTCCTTTTGGTCATGATGATTCTACTACACATAAGCTTTTCGGTGTAGTTCCATTCATGGCTCCAGAAATTTTTGCAACAAAATCATTCAATACCAAGTCAGATGTATATAGTTTTGGAATTATTATGTGGATGTTTACTTCTGGAATTTTACCATTTCATAATCGTAAATATGATGGATATTTGGCATTAGATATATATAATGGAGCCCGACCTCAAATAATAGATAGAACACTACCTTGTTTTGTCAATCTAATGCTAAGATGTTGGGATTCAGAACTTGAGAAAAGACCTACTTTATCTGAAATTTATGATATACTTTGTTCGTGGTATTATCAAACTTTGATGATGGATATCTTGATAACTATTGATCTAAATTAGCTTAAATTTTTATCAAAGATAGTGATTATATTCTTATACTATATCAGTCACACATGTAAATTTATATATATATAAAATTATAAAAAAAACATATAAAATTACTATAAACTTTGATTCCGTGATGTTTTTTCACCTACATATTAATTTAAAATTAAATTGTGCAACAATATGTAACACGAAATAACGAAAAAAGTGAGCTTAGAAA